AGTTCCCCTGGCGGGGGGGGGCCGGCGGCCAGGAGGAGCGAAGCCCCGGGCCGCGCAAGGGACGGCTCCGGACGGGAGGCGGCAGGCCGGGGCAGCCCTCCAAGCTGGCTGGAGCTCAGCAATGGGCCGGCCCGCAGGAGGAGGCGGAGGCGGGAAGGCTGCCGAGGGGCTGGGGGCAGGGGAGGGGACCATCGGCTGGGCAGGGCCGATAGCCTATCTCCCGAGCAGCCAGCCCGGCCGCCTCTTCTTCCCCGCCCGCCCCAGCCGCGCACGCCTCCCCCGCGCCAGCCGCGAGATGGGCAGCATCGCCAAGGAGCCGACCCCCAGCGCGGAGCCCGGCGCGCCCCAGGAGCCCAAGGAAGCCGCGCACACCGAGCACCGGGCGGCTGCCAAGAGGGAGTACCATCACCGGTAAGCGGGCGGCGAGACGCCAGCGGCCGGACGAAGCTCCCCTTCCGTGGCCCTGGGGGCTGCTCAGTCCCCCCCCCCCCCGTTTCTCATCTGACAAGTTGGGACGACACCCCCCCCCCGTGGGGCGCAGATAGGGGGGAGCCTGCTGAAGCGGCTGCCTGCCCCTGCCTGCGAGTCGCTCTGTACCCCGCGATTAAGGGGGAAGGGGGTGGCCCTTTTGCACGCGGTGTGTGTGTGTGGGTGAGATCAGAGGACGGGGGGCATGGGGGGAAGGCGCACCTGCAGCCCTCTCTGCTGGCGGAGGCTGCCACCCGGCTGCGCTCCGCTCCACAGCCCCCGCCATAAGATGGGAAGCGCCAACCCCCCTGCAGTTGGGATCTGGGGACAGAGGTTATCTCCTGGGACGGGAGGTGGGAGACGTCCTCCGGCAAACAAGACTGTTGGGGGGGGGGGCAGCTGGCAGCTGAAGGAGGGGAAAGTTGAAAGGAGGTGGAGGAGCAGCCTGGAGCCGGGGACAGGTGGGAGAATGGACCCTTCTCCTCCTCCTCCAAGGCGGCTGCTTGTGAGAGAGTGCCTGGGAATGGAGCGGCTGGGCCTAGCTAAGCGTCCCCAGCTGGGTGCTGACGGCCCAACGGTGGGCTGACTGTGCGCTTGAAATATGGAAACAGGACTACTACGACCCCTGGGCTCTCCCGTGCGTGGGTGGCACCCCCACTGGTCCTGCCAGTTATCCCCAACCTCCTCTCCAACTCACAGCAGTCCCTGTGGGCTGCATCTGTGCCAAGCTCATCACCTGAAAAATCCTTCCCTGAGTGTTCTCCTGCTGCCCTGGCATTGTAGTGACATCAGCAGCTAAGAGACTGTGAGCCTGCTCCTTGAATGCTGCTGGGGACGGGAGGTCCCTTGCTTAGGGAGCCGTGTCCATTTCTTCCACTTGAAGGCCGATTTCCATCTCAAAAGCCAGTTTTCTGCTCTAATAACTGGCCTTGGCTCTTTCACGCTGGTCTCTTCTTTGCCGGCTTAAGTGGGAAGTGCCTCTTCGGTTCCTTCTTTCCTTCTCAGGAGTCATAACTTGCACCTGGGACAGTCTCAGGTGCTAAGGCCCCACATATGGACTCAAAAGGCTTAGAAGGGTACAAAGAAAGTGGCTGGGAGTTTTAGCCAAACCACCCTGGTAGCAGTGTGTAGCTGGCCAGGAACAGCCATCAGAAACGGGACTGTGGATCATGAGCATTCCAGCCACAAAGCAGAAGGGGAGTTTGAAAAGGCCAGAAGAAAGAGCTGAGTCAGCCCCTGCAGGACCCCCGTCCCTCAGTATTTCAGTTTGTTGGTTTGTTTCTCTGCTTTTCTTGAAAGCCCACCTGGATATGCAGAGCAAGTGCTGAATGGGCTACCCCAGGCTAGCTGAACAAGGCCTGCCGAGCCATTGGCTAGTAAAATGTCTGGCTAGCGTGCTCACAGTTCAGTCCTTTTCTGCTGTATTTCGTGAGCGTGGACTTGGTTCCTGGTTTCTCTCTTCAGGCTGCATCTGCACCTTAGAACTGCAAACCAGGACGTAGGAACTGGGAACCAACTTCAGCCTCATTTACTCTCTGAGAGGATTGGCTTCAGATCCGGGTGGGGGCCACTGGGGAACCTGGCAGCTTAGCAGATGCTGCTTGTTTCCTCAGGTACCACTTGCATCCCGTTGAATGCTCAGGACAGCCTGCTTGGGGCTTCTCATGCTTCTCTGGCAGCACCTTTGGATGCTTGGTCTATTCATCATGATCTGCCAGAAGACCTCTCCCCCTTTATTCTTGCATCTCTTCATTCTTCAACAGTGTGCTGGTTCTGAACGTTTTTATGCTTGGTGTGCTGTGTTGCACAGGATCATGGCACAATAGGACCAGTATAGAAACACCTCTCCATGACTGCATTTGTATGTTTTTGCTGCATTCCCCCCCCCCCCCCAAGCCTGTTTTTGAGCTCAGCAACTTTGATGGAGAATTCAATAATTTACAGAGCTCTTTTGTCAGCCTCTGGTACCACTTTTGGAGGATGGAGTCCAGTGGCAAAACCGAAAAAGGGGGAAGAAAAAACTCCAGCCTAGAAAAGCAAGGTAACCAAAAAAAATTGAAGTCCAGTGGGCCACACCTGCCCATCCATGCTTTTAAGGAACCCTTCCACGAATAATAGAATAAAGGTTGTATAATCCCCGCCCTTTTTTTAAAGCCTTTCCAGAATCACAGCTCTTGAGATCTTGATATGTCCCAGTTCTAGCCCAGAACCAAAGCTCCTCTGGAAAGCCTGGGGTTTACAACATTTCCAGGTTTGTCTGGGCACAAGGAGCATTGCTGAGAAGCCAGGGAGTGGCTTCTACTTCACTGAATGTGTACGTAGGCTACTTTTCTCTTAGTGGGCTACTTAGCAGAGATGGCATGTGAGCAATGCTCCCACTAAGCTGTGGGGTCTTGTGAGCAAATATTCTACTTTGTGAGCTACTGGCCTTAAAGTTGTGAATGAGCAATTTGGCTACTGCATAAATCAGTTTGCTCTGAAGCCCTCCTTCCTGAGCTGAGACAAAAATGTGTGAGCCAGAAGCTAAAAAACTGTGAGCTAGCTCGCACTAACTCAGCTTAGAGGGAACACTGCATGTGGGTATGGAACTGGCACTGAAGACATTGGCTTGGTGAGGTCATTGGATGGCTCAGCTCCCTATTTCAGATTTCATGTCTGTCTAATTTTTATCCCGCCTGTTCTCCAAGAAGCTCCGAGCAGTGTCCATGGTTTTCATTTCCTCCATTTTATCCTTACAGCGACCCTGTGAAGTAGTTTAGGCTGAGAAAGAGTGCGACTGGCCCAAGGCCACCGGTGAATTTTATGGCTGCGTCGGGATCGAAACCGCTTTCCCCAGTTTTAGTCTGACACATCGGCCATTACTTCTTTCTCCCCTCCATTATCTTTCTTTTGGCTACTTGGGTGGCAACTCTTTAGAGCACAAACTGTCGTATTGGCACTGCAGCTATGCACAGTCTGGGGAACCAGTGAGATGAAAAGGTCCATCTGATGATGGTCCAGCAGAATAAGCCCTCTCAGGGATTTCCGCAGAACTTGGGTTGTTGAACATCAACGCATGGAAAGCACATTCCAAAGTCAGTTTTGGAGGCTGAGCTGAATGTGGTACCACCACTGAGAACAAAGCCATTTGCACTTTCCAGATGTAAAGGAACCACTCCTCTGGCCTCAACCAGGTTGCTTCCTCCCCACAGCTCAGCCTAGCAAGGTGGCTTCTGGAAATTCCCCATTCCTGCCATCTGTTCTCCTTCAGTGGGGGGAAGTCATCCAGGAACTGGTTAGGTCACGCCTCTGCTCGCTCCGCTCGATAGGCTATGCAAATTTCTTTTGTTGCATGGCTCCTATTGGAGTGGCCGTGGCCGACCTCTCCAGTTCCTGCATAGCCCCTGCGCTCGGTAGGACGACTGGAGCTCCTACTCCAAGCTAGAGGGACTACATTACTCAGAAAAACTTTTTAAAAAGCACCAGAGACATTCCGGTTCCAGGAAGTCAAATACCTGCTTACCGGAGGGTTCAAAGCAGTACCGGCAGAACCCGGAAAAACTGAAGGAGAAGACAGACATCGGCCACTTTCCAGGGACCTGGAGGGAAAGAAGATGGCCGCATCGCTGGAACAAAAGGAGCAGCTGCCTAAAACCTCCGAGGCATCGGGAGTTGGCCAGCCCGGCGTCCATTCCTGCCATCTGTTCTCATGGCGGGCCCAGGCATTGGACAGGAAGGGAGGGAGTCCCAGAGGGAGGAGAGCCACTGCCCCTGCAAAGAAGCCAATCGGAGGCTGTCAGGCTGTGCGAGGGGATGGCATTTCGTCAGCTGAGTTTGTGAAGGTGGCTGTGAGGCAGTTGTCAAATGCTGATAGCAAAGAAAACAGAATCTTTGCCCAGTCCAGAGGATTGCAGGTGATGATGAAATGACCTGACGTATGGTTTGAGATAAGCATTTCCCCACCTGTGCGGAACCCTCCCACCTCCCAGGCTTCCTTTGGGGTGGCAGCCAGTACAGTCTTGACCAGAAGAGTTTTGGGCACACAGATGGGTCTCAGGAACTGCTCCCCAAAAGCTTTGTGTGACCAGTGAGGGGACATCTAGCAGCCTTCGTCTGGGGCTGCACAGCAGAAGGGAGCTGGGTACAGCCTCTGTCTGGCTGAGGAAGCAAGATCTAGAAACCTGCAGGGCCTCTGGCACATCATCTGGAAGCTCTGATGAGCAGACTAGATTTACTTTTTTAAAAAAAATAATCTGGATCTTATGCTTGTAATGAAAAACTGAAACGAGCCTGGATGGCTTTTGTCTGAGGAGGGAGAAATGCAGACGGTGCCATATCTGAGACAGACTTTAAAACCCTTCTGGTACTCAGAGACAAAAATGGCAGATGAAATCCAAAGCACAGCTGGGAAAAACGTAATCCCAGATATGCTTTCACAAAGTTGGATGGTGATCACGGAATTAATTCTATTGGACAAAGTGATGCTGGTCATACTGGTGACTCCATGACAGTGTCACCTCGATGGGGCACTGCAAAGAAGTTATTAGAAAAAGGAGATGGAGAAAATACACGGAGCTCAGGGTGGTGTACATCGTCACCCCTTCTCCATTTTCTACTCACAACAACCCTGTGAAGTAGGTGGGGCTGCTGGACAGTGATGGGGCCAGGGTCAGCTAGCAAGCTTCATGGCAGACTAGGGACTTGAAGTGAGCTAGAATTGTCCTTAGCCATTGGCTTATACAGTCTTATTCAACCCGGGTGTCTTGGGCAGAACTTGAAATTTGAGGCAAGCTTTGAAGTAGTCAGTGGGAAGGAACAGGATCTGTAACGAAGTAATCAGAGGCCTTCTTTGAGCCATATGTATACACTAGGACAGGAAGGAACCCGACACTCCTCTTGTAGTCCACTTCTTGAAGTGTGAAGGACTTGACACTTCAAGTTAGGTTGGGAACCTGCATGACACACATCAAGAGTAAAAAACAAAAGCCATGTCACATACCTCTTATTAAGACCAACCAAATGACACAACAAGAGTCCATGTTTTTGGGTTCTCCAGAAGTCTTCATCAAGCAGAATACTTAAAAGGGTGAGATATGCTTCAGTCCAATATGTTAAGATCTTTTGTCTGCAAACTGTGCCGAATCAAGATTTCCATAGGAAGGCAAGGAAGCTTTTGGAGGCAGATTAATTTAGGTGCTGGATTTCTAGCCGTATCCAGTGTGAGGTTTCTTAGGAGAAGAGGAATGGGGAGGGGACTACAATGTTGTAAGGCCACCTTACCATAACATAAGGATGTTAGCAGATAAACTATACGTTCACTTGATCTCTCCATCTCTAATACGAGGTGCCGAAGGAACGTGTGCACTAGATGGCTGCCACATGATAGCACTGGATTCACCTAAGCCTTTCTCCAGATGGAACATCTTTGGCCCACGGAACACAACTTTCTGACTCCCCCCCCCCTTCCTGTTGCAGCCCCAAATGACCCCCAGAATGCTGCTTCTGGGAAACAGGGGAGCCCAAGGAGTGACCATTGGCATGGGGGGGGAATCTTTAGGCTGCAACGGAGGGGGGGGTTGAGAAAGTCAGGCTGCACGAGTGGAAATTATTCCATCTGTGGAAACCCTCACTTAAGTCGTGGGATGCTTTGGTTGCTTCTGGAGTTAGCGTCCTCTGTGTGGTGAGCTGCCCTTGTGCTTTCAGGGTCTGGGGAGATGGGGTCCGCTCACCACTGCAAACCTTCTTTTCTCCTCCTATTTGGAGCCAGAGTGGCTAAATTAGCAGGAAGGCCTTGCAAATGTCCTGTAGCAGTGAGAGGCAGTAGTTTGGATCAGGAGTACTTGCTGAGCAGGGAAAACTAGCTGAGTTTGCCAGATATGTGCAGTTCCTGTGGTTACTGTGACTGAAAGAGGCCTGGAGGGGGTCCCAAACTGCTTCCAGATGTGCTGTGCTTGGCCTCTAGCCTCTGAATGTGTGTATGTGGCGATACATTGTGGGGGAGTCTCACTGTGCATGCTTTTGGCTTCCCTTGGCAAAGTCTCCTGGTCCCTGCTTGTTCATTCTGAACTCCAGGGCTGCATTCCTACAGACTCCATTGGGGAACAGGTGTGGAGCCGCTGGAATGAACAACCCATTGCCTCAATTTCTTTTGCAGAGGGAACAGCGAGGGGGCGGAGGGGTGGGAGAGAAGTGGAAAGAATATTGTTTGTGTGTTTCTGCAAGCATAGATTGGGCAATTGGAGAGACCCAATCGTGATTCTTGGTATCATAAAACATAATTAGAAAATGCTTCGGATGCTTGTGGCAGAGCTTTCTGTGGTCACCCTGTGTGCTCCGGCCAGCGAGTGTTGGCGGAAGAGAGGAGTTTGCCTGCTGTTGTGAGTTGCGGGTGGGTGGCTGAAAGTGGCTGGTTGGTGTAGAACGGACTTTTTATGCCCAGTCTGAGTCTCTGGATCTTCTCCTCCAAGAACCTGTTAGCAGATGTTGCATTCATGTGGTTGGGGGAACTGGAGGGCGGAGGGGCTTGATTTCGTAGTTCATAAATCCCTGGTAATGGGAAACCTGTTGACACAGCCTGCCCTGGAGCAATGATAATATTACACAGCCTCTCTGCTCGCCCCTCCTCTGTCCAGCATCCAGCAAGCTAACTCTCTCTGAATATCAGCAAAGACACTGATGCTCCAGCCTGGAGCACCAGTAGCATAGAAGGGGGCGGGGGCAGAAATGAAATGAGGCACAGAAAAAAGGCAAAGGAGAAGGTCCTTCCTAGGAAAGACAGTGCAGTCGAGGTTGCATTGATGCCAGAGAGGAGTTGCATTGCTGATGAAGGGCCCCTAATGAGGGAGGCGATCAACTGTAGAACAGGACCGGCTTGTCCCGTTCACATAGTTACCTCACCGTGCCATCTGCTTTTCAGGATCTTTGTGAACCGGAGCCTGGCGCTGGAGAAGATCAAATGCTTTGGTTTTGATATGGACTACACTCTAGCAAGTAAGTAAATGGCAGAAACCTCCTTAAGGTCTCCGGCAGCAGCATGAAGGGAGGGGGGCTTTTCTTGGGTGGGCGGATCTCTGTGGTCTGCATCTCTTTTCCTTGTGAGAAAGTAGTTCTGTCACGGTGGGCGGTTCCTCTTTGGAGACTGTTGAACCTCTGCTCTGGTTCTGTAATTAAACTGAAGCAACCATACAGTGATCTCATGTCTTAGTGTGGTCCATCTGACCCATGCGTGGCAAATTTGAGAACCAGCTGTACCAGGAGTCAAGCTAATCCATCGCCTGTTTCACATAGTGGCCAGCCAGATGCCTTTAGCTGCCCTCTGTTGTATGTTCCTCAGGAACTGGCATTCAGAGGTACATTGCCCTTGCACATGGAGGCTCCACTTAGTTCTCATAGCAAACAGCCATCAATAGACTTCTCCATGAATTTGTCTGATTTCTCTCTAAAGCCATCTAACCTAGTGGCCTTCACCATATCCTGTGGGAGTGAATTCCATAAACTGAACTGAGGGAGCCAGTCGTGCTTCACACTATAATCTTGGTGCTGCCACCAAAAGGGCTCTGTCATTTTCTCCCCCAACCCAGCCTGTGATAGTGATGACTCACCAGCTTCCCAGGTGATCTCATTATCAGGGTGGCTTATGCTAGAGAAGATGTTCCTTCTGATATTCTGCTCCTGTACTCTTTAGTTACTCACAATCTTGTGTATTCATTGGAAAAGAACAGTCAGTCTTGTTATTTATTAATGGCAGTGTTGATATCATTAGGTTTACATTGAAGGTGAATTCTAATTGGGTGGGTAGTATCACTGTGAAATGGGAATTGCCAAATGCTTTAAAGGGGTTTTTTTGCCCTTTAAATTTAGATAATGGCTTTATGCTTAGTTTTGCCCTGACTTGGATAGCCAAGGCTAACTGGATCTTATTAGATCTTGGAAACTAAGCAGCTTCAGTTCTTGTTAGTACTTGGAAGGGAGACCACGAAGTCCAGAGTTGCTGTGCAGAGGTGGGCAATGGCAGGCCTTTCATGTCTTGCTTTGTTCGTCTTATGCCTTAAAAACCTTATAGGGTCACCATAAATCGGCTCTGACTTAACAGCGCTTTTCATCACCATATGATTAGTTTTGTATTTTGGTTTTTATTGTATATGTACAAAGTCCTTTGTGAGAAACTCTGTCTTAATTATTCTGTGGGTTTTTTTTGTGGTTGTGTTTTCTTTTCTGGCAAACTAACATGCTTATTTCTGAGAAGGTCAAAAGCAACATTTTTGTGTTGGGAACAATCAATGTAATTGCATCAGAAATGTTGTAATAGTATGGCCTGGATAGCTCAGGCAAGCCTGATCTTGTCAGATCTCAGAAGCTACGCAGGGCTGACGCTGGCGAGTACTTGGATAGCAGACCTCCAAGGAATACCAGGGCTGGGATGCAGGGGCAGGCAATAGCAAACTACCTCTCTGAATGTCCAAGCCCCACTAGGTGTTGCCAGAAGTCAGCCAGAACTTCCAGGCATGCATTCTCTCTCTCTCTCTCACTCACACACACGTTCGCACACACACACATACACACACACTATGTTGTAATAGTACTTGGGCAAAAATTGCAAAACAATGTTCTGGACTAATTGATGTTTCTGGGAACTTTTTAGAGGCATCCCCACAACAGTCTAGTTCCGAAGAGTACTTGTAACAGTTGCCAGGTCAATATTTGGCAGAAGAAGATATTAGAGTTATACCCTGCCCTTTGCTCAGAGCGGCCTACAATCTCCTTTCCTTTCCCCTCCCCACAACAGACACCCTGTGAGGTAGGTGGGGCTGAGAGAGCTCTTTCGAGAATTGCTCCTGAGAGAACAGCTCTGAGAGAACTTATGACTGACCCAAGGTCATCCAGCTGGCTGCATGTGGAGGAGTGGGGACTCAAACCCGGTTCTCCCAGATTAGGGTCCGCACACTTAACCACTACACCAAACAGACTGTTGGGTTCACTGCCTATAATCCTCCAGAATTATCAAGTCAGAAGGTTGTAACTGTTTAGGATGGTACTGTAATCCCAACAGTGATTAAGTTCATTAAATCATTTTATATACTGTATGCACTTTGTGCCTTGTGTAAGCCGACCTGAGCCCGTTCGCGGAAAGGGCGGGGTATAAATACAATGAAATAAAATAAATGAATAAAATTGTTGTTCACTTACATGTCAGTGATGATTTAAAAAGGGATGAAATGCACTGAATTCAGTGTGGTGTAGTGGTTAGATACTCCTGGGCGCCCTGGATTTGAATCTTTACTCTGCCATGAAGCTCAGTGGATGTGTTTGGACCAGTCATTCTCTTAGTCCAATCTACCTTACAAGGTTGGTGTGAGGACAGAATGGGTGGAGAGAGCCATATGTACTTCCCTGAGCTCCTCGGAGGAAGGATGTAATAAAAATTGAGCAAAAGAGTGCATTAGCAGTGAAGTTTTCTTGTTTTTAAATAAAAAGTAACAGAAATGGAAACTATGAAGAGGAATGGCATGTGGCAAAGACACAAACACATTTCTTATTAAAGCAGAAGAAACTTCTGCACCAAGAAAAAGTCTAGTTATGTGGAGGTTCAGTCTGTCGTGATGGAACCTTTCTGTTCAAAAGCAGTATATCTCTGAGTACCAGATACTGGCAACAAGGAAGTGTAAAATCATCCTTTTAATGCTCTACTTGTGATCACCGTTTCTCCCAGAGGCATCTGGCTTTCATATGCAAACCATGACTGCCCAACCACATTTTAATTTTGTATAAATGGTTTAATTTGTGTGCTTTTTCTGAATTCTGTATTTTAATTTTAGGGGGCTGTTCTCCGGTGACAGAAAAGGAGATTAATCCCATGGTGATAGGATGAGTGGTGTCATGTGGGGGCAAAGAAAGGCAAAGCAACAGTGTTTGACAGCCAGCACAAGAGCTTGCCTGGGTTTCCTGTGTTCCCGGAGAGCAGTTTTTGTGTGGTTATGAGAATGTAGATGCACCTGCGCAGAAGGCCCATGTGATGGCCATCTCGTTCTTTGCCTTTGCAGTGTACAAGTCTCCAGACTATGAAGAGCTGGCTTTTGAACTGCTGCTGGAGCGATTGGTTTCTATTGGATACCCCCACGAGATCCTGGAGTATAAATATGATCCCACTTTGCCTACCAGGTAAGAGAACCCGACCCAGGCAGCAGCGCCATTTTGAGCCCTGTCTGTCAAAGGAGCATCAGGCATCCCCAGGTGGTCTGGGAAATTTAAATGTCCCAGGAACAAGCCAAGCAGAGCATTCCCTGCAGTGCTGTGAGCCAGCCTTGCAGGGGCCACTCAGCTCAGACTCAGTCAGCAACACTAATGGTGGTCATGGGCTCACCCATTGCCTCCAATGACACTGTGGGTGGAGGCAACGTGTGAGCTGACATCTATCGTTGATGCGGCTGAAGATCCTCCTGCACCGTTGCCGGGGCTGCTGGGGCATGGCTTTGCTTGTTCCTGGCTGGCACACCCCTCCAGAGCAGTGGCCTCCCACGGGCCTGGGAGGCTTTGCTTCACAGCCTTGAGAGTCTGCTCACAGACCCTTCTCTTTCCTTCCTCAGGGGCCTGGTATTTGATGCCTTGTATGGGAATTTGCTGAAGGTGGACTCCCATGGGAACCTGCTGGTGTGTGCGCACGGCTTCCGCTTCCTCAAAGGGTAAGGGCTCTCTGTAACTGCAAGCAGAATGCCTCATTCCGCCCAACCCCCTTCCTTCCCCAAGCATGGGCTTTTTTGGGGTTCCCACAGAATAATTGTGTGACCCTGAAGATCAGTAGCAGAAGCTGTTTCTTTGTGCAGTCGTCTCTCTGGATGAGCCCACCCAGCATTGCTGCTTCCTGTGCACCCCAATGTCTCTGCTGTTTGTGAGTTAACAGAGGTCACTGGGGAGTAGGGTTGCCAACTTCCAGGTGGGGCCTGGAGATCTCCTGGAATTACAACTGATCTCCCGACTGCAGAGATACAGTGCCCCTAGAGAAAAATCACTGCTTTGGGAGGGTGGATTCTATGGCATTATACCCTCCCCAAACCCTGCCCTCCCCAGGCTCCACAACCCAAAATCTCTAGGTATCTCATAACCCAGAGCTGGCAACCCTGCTGGGGAGGCATTTTTGCTGAGGCTGCTGGCTGGGCAGACTGGTGCTGAACTGTTTGCATCTTGGGGTTGCTGCAGTTGGGCCCTGAGAAAGGACATCTTAAGGGGAAAGGAGCAAATGACGGGAGATTGGCCACTCCCACTTATTGGCAGGCATCTGTGATTGGCCTCTCCTGCGTTTCCTCTGCCAAAACAGGAAGTAGCTGGTAGTTGTGAACACTCGAACCCAGCCGCGTGGAGGTGTCTTTGGCACTCTGGGTCGCTCACTCAGCCACATGGTCCCCTGATAGGAGCTGTATTTATATCTCAGTTTTATCCTTCCCTCCCTCGGAGGAGCTGAAGATAGGCACACACAGGTCTGCTCTCTTCAGTTCTGTCCTCACAACGACTCCGTGCACCAGGTCAGGCTGAGAGAGAACAGCTGGCCCCAGGTCACCCCGTGAGCATTGTGGCTGCTGAGGGAATGGAGCCCAAGACGCTCAAGTCCTAGTCTGACACCGCTGCCTCAGGCTGGGTCCTGGCACAGCTCCTGGGCTGAACGTTTACACCAGTGGTATCAATATTTTAGCTTCATTGATCTGGAATATGTCCTTTGAACAAGATCCCAGTGCAGGAGGTGTGTCTCTTTGGCGGTGGCGGTTCTGAGACTCACTTTGTATCAGGAAGTTGCCACCTGCTGTCTGAAAGATGGAACCACCACTTCCCTTTGTGGAATGCCTCCTGCTTCAGCAGCATTCTTGCACCCACACCCCAGGCACAAGGCTGAGCCATCTGAACGGCTACGGCCCCTGCACAGGCAGAGGCTTCGTCTTCCCGCAGAGGTGATCCTGGCTCGGACGACGGCTGTTTTAGTGGCAGGCTGAGAATAGCTTGAGCAGGAGGTGTGGGGTGAGGGGAGGGAGTGGGGGGGATAGTTCCCAGCTGCTGTCATGATGCTAAATCCTGCTAAGAGGACTTTAGCCTGCCAGTGGCCAGGTTGTTTCTGATGTAAGAAATGTCATCTTTATTGTCCTAAAGCCTAGCATTCCTTCTTCCACCACTTGGCACGGAGCCACCGTTGGCCTTTCTGGAGTGCCTCCCGTCATTCCAGCTCAAGGTCTGCTACAGGGGGGGAGACTCAGGGAGGGTCCAGTGAAGGATTCAAGTCTGATGGACACTCCCCCCCCCCCATTGCTGTGATTTTACAGCTAAAATGTAGTTAGACGGGGGAGGAGGGATGTCATTGTAAACCAGACTATCCAGAGCCTTCTTGCTTCAGTTTAAGAAAGGTGTCTGGCCTTTGTTTCTACCATCTCTTTCTAGCCTGGGGGCTGCTGAGAGGACCGTTTAGGCTTCCCTGTGTTTTGGGCTCTGGGTTTTGATGGGCTTTTATTGCCGCTGGGTTTTTACATGGTTGTTGCATTCCAATGATTTTATGTTTTTACAATTTTTATCTCGCTTGATTTGGTGAGGCATCTCAAACAGACCTGGTGTTATAAATATTTTAAACAAATGCTGTCCCAAACTGGGCAGGGCTTGAGGATGAATGAGAGTCTTGCTCCGGAGCAGGGGTCGTTTCGTAGAAAAAGAGCTAGGGGAACTCATTAGCATAACTCATTAGCATATGCCACACCCCCTGACATCACCAGAAGTGTGTCATAAGGCCACACCCCCTGACATCACCGGAAGTGTGTCATAAGGCCACACACCCCGCCCCCAACGGTCCCGGCCGCCACCGCCAGCCTTGCTGCTCCACTGCCGAGCCCCATGAGGGGCCCAGCGGTGGACCTGCAAGGCCAGCAGGAGTGCAAGGAAGCCCTGGAAGGCCCTCCCTGGCCCCAGGCAGGCAGGGGTGGGGAGAGGCAGGGAGGAAGCAACTTACCCTCCCTCTTCTCCTGCCTCCTCCTGGCTGAATGAGGGCCGGAAGCGGGGCGGCCGGAAGCAGGGGGCGGGGCTTCATCATGTGCCCCGCCCCCCATACCTCACCCGGGGGAACTGCGATCCCCTGCGACCCCCATCCCCGAAATGACCTCTGCTCCAGAGCCCGAGACACCTCTACTCAGCTCTCGTGCAAGGGCCTCCCTTAAACCTGGGAAGGGGCTTGGGGTCAGAAGGCAGCAGAGGAACAGACGGCAGACAAGTCTGGCAAATGCCTTCCATGCCAGCCCTGCTCTGTCCCATGTTCCTGGTCCAGTCTGTTCCTCCGTGCCTTTTCCGCCCTGTGGGATGCCCCGGCAGTTCCACCTCCAGCAGCTATTTTTAGCAGCTGAAGCCCGTGTTGTGTTTCTTTCCACAAGGGACAGAGCTATTGTTACAGGCTCTTGTGTGCTGCCCAAGGGGCTGAGTGACTGGGCAGCTGCAGGCGCAGCTGAGGAGCCGGCTTTGTAGCCGAGCCGCAGGGCCACCAGGGGACAGGAAAACATCCAGGAGATTTAGGGAAATATGGGCACACTCTCCCCGCTGATTGCTCCCAGCCCTGAGGGGACATTCCAGGCAAGGGCATGCACAAAGTCATCCCTTTCTCTGGGCCCACGTGGGACGCTCAGTCCGGAGACTTGACTTGCCTGCACCTGGGTCTTCCGGAACAAGAACGAAATGGGTGCCGCTGCAGGTGAAGCGTGGGAAAGGCAGTGTGGGGGCAGAGGTCAAAGGCGACCTGGGTAGGAAGGAAGTAACAAGGGTTTTGTGTGAGGTTGCCAACCTCCAGGTGGGGCCTGGCGATCCCCTGGAATTACAACTGACCCCCAAATTCTCCTGGAGAAAATGGTTGCTTTGGAGGATGGACTCTATGCCGTTATACCCTGCCCTCCCCAGGCTGTACCCCCAAATCTCCAGGAATTTCCCAACCTGGAGCTGGCAACCCTAGCTTTGCAGCCTGACTATGGGGGCCGGAGAGGCATGGAATGCTGGAGAGATGAGGCTGCCCCTTTAGAACTGCCAGGTGGGCCCAGGGTGGCTGTGGTGGCTTTGAACAGTCACCCTTCCAAGCCCATGGAGGGCTCTCTGCAGCCTGAGCCACCCCAGGGAGAGGCTGGCGTTTGTTCTGTGGATGTCTGCAGTACTGCAGCGGCAGGGGAAGGGGCAGGGGGCAGGTCTGGGGCTTGTCATAGATGGGCTGGGAAGGAATGGGGAGGCAAGGGCAGGCATCTGGGCCGGAAGGTGGCAGCTTGGCCTTTCTTGCCCTGCATTCCCACCTCACCTGTGTCACTTTCTCCACTTCCAGGGCTGAAATCTGGAATTTTTACCCAAACAAGTTCATCCAGAGGGATGACATGAAGCGCTTCCACATCCTAAACACTTTATTTAACCTGACAGGTATGTGCAAAAGGGACCTGTGGGGGTGAGGCAGCTCCCCTTTGTAGGGCCGAAGTTCAAGCTGTGGGGACGCTCCCAGGCACCCCAAGTGTGGGGCCCTGGGAGCCCCTTGGGGCATGTGGGTGCTCGGCTACAGAAGCCTCCCCTGCATTTGGCCCAGTGCCCCCTTCCCATGGGGTCCCCTGCCATCTAGGTTCAGAAAGGAAACCCCAGTCAGAGTACAAAACATCAGCTGGCTAAGCTCCGAGTGCCCCAGGGGCATGTCATTGCTGCTCTTCAGGGGCAAGCAGCTAGTTCAAAACCGGAGACAGCCGCAGTCAGGAAGGACGGCATTAGCTGGAAAGAAAGGGTGTCTTTTCGGAAGGGACTCTTTAAATATTTTTTAAATCCCTCCCTCCTATTAGCATGCATAAGGTGCCTAACAAAATCAAATCGCTTAAGTGGTTAACAACAAAACAAGCAACAACTCTGGCATGCTTGGTATCCAAATGAAGTCGCAGTGATTTGATGCAAAAACTAACTGCTTGCTTGGGCCCCTCTGTCCACTGCTGATAGAGGCTGTTCTCCCTGCTCAATGGAAGGCTCCTCCCCTGCAGTGGTTTCCATTCTCCCTGTCTGCTTGTCTGTACTAACGGGAGGTTCCTTTTTGTACATGGTTACAGTCCAGTGAACAGGCTTGACTCCCCACTGCTGTCCCCCCCTTCTCCCATCCCAGCTGAAATGCAATTCAATCTGAGAAGCCTATTTTCAACACCAGGACTCAGTGCTAGAACCCAGGAAAGAAGAGTGATGGAGTGGTTGCTCAGGAGCATGGACAGAGTGCATTTCTTTCATCGGCACCCACCCCGACGTCTCTGAGGTTCCACCTCGGTGGAGCAAGAGCATTTTTGACTGCTAAATAGCTGCAGTGGGAGGGGCATTCAGACCACATAGAGGCGGAATTGGAATTAGAAAGCTGAGAGACGAACCCTTCCCCTGTGCCATTTTACTGGCCTCAAGCAATGCCCCCTCTTGGCTACTATTTGCCCCTTTCAGGGATGACTATCCAGGCAGTCCCTCTCATCTAATTGGTCCTGAGTTGAAAGAGAAGGGATTCCAGGTCACTGAATGTGGTGGGCAGGTGGACTGGGGCACTTTTCCCCCTTTAAGTTGTCACTCCATGGAGCTGTTTTTTTCCTGGATGTGACCTCAGTGACCTCTTCTTCCTTGTCTCTCTGCAGAGACCTACCTCTTTGGCTGCCTGGTGGATTTCTTTACCAACTGCTCCCGATATGTGAAGTAAGTATGCTGAGTTTGCTGTGGGTTGGGCTTCAGAGCCTCGTTAGGGCTAGAAACATGCCTGGATTCCTAGTGTGTTTTCACACAGTGTGTTTTCAAAATTTGATTGTGCTGGTCATGGGAGAGGAAGACTGCAAGAGCTGTGCCTCCAGTCTTTGGAAATCTGATTCAGCCAGTGTCTGGAATTTCAGGAGGCCTGTGCATTTTCATAAGTCTTTTCACAGCCTGAGGGGGCAGGAACTTATTTTTTGAAATGAAAGTTTGGAATCTGTAGAAGCCAAATTTGACAGCCATTACTGCCTTCTGTGCTTTCTCTGCCTTCCTGTGGAATCTCAACCTGGGTGCAGCCAGTGCAACACTGACCTGTTCCCGGGTGCAACACTGACCTGACCTGGGTGCAACACTGACCTATTCCCGGTTTTATTCCAGTTGTGACACAGGCTACAAACACGGCAACCTCTTCATGTCTTTCCGGAGCATGTTCCAGGATGTCCGAGAAGCCATGGACTACGTCCACCTCACAGTGAGTGGGTGGATGCTGGGGAGGTGGTTGGGGATCTCTACTGTGGAGTTACGATGAAGTGCTGTCTACTTTGGGTCATGTAATCATGTTTCAGCATCCTAATGTTGATGTGAAAACATGTGCTAAAGGTGTGATAGTCTGGGTGGGCAAGGATACCGCTAGATATCACCCACCCTCTTTGAATCCATCCCAGCTTCTGGTCTGAGTAGGATCCATGCACACTGGGAGAGTTCAGTCAGTGCAGTCCAACCTCCCTTGCATGCTTGAAGGCCATTTCTCAGTCAAGTGATATCATTTATGTAGATGTTACTTTTAAATTTGCAGAGTAAATAAGGAGAGCACACCATGTGTAATTTGAGCTTTAAAGAAACTTAACTTTACTAGAAAATGAAAGGGGCGGTTACATTTGGAAGAAAATAAAACTGTCTTAGGTAAACAGACTACATGTTTACAGTTAAAAGGTAAAAGGCTTAAAGGGTGCTGCTTCTTGCTCACAAGCAAAGAACCGAAACTGTTTATAAAAACGCAAACATCCAATATATTGATCAGTCAATTACAAGTCTATAGATCACTTCATTTTACTGATACCACCCACAACTCTCCTGTGTGAATTTATTTATTTATATACGCCGCCCTCCCTGCCAAAGCAGGCTCAGGGCAGCTTACAAGGCCATTTGGCATCATAAAAACACTAAGACAATAAAAGCAAATTAAAATCATAAAAACAGTTTCCAAAAGTGCTACACACATAGGGTGGCAAAGACTGTCCTGATTCTACTTAGTTACAAGCTAGCTAGGTAGTTTCCTGTTTAGAACAACTATAGAGTTAACGGAAAGTGTAGGCAACTTGTAAATAGTCCAACAATTTACCTCCTACCTGTCTGTTAAGAAAAAACCTTCAAGGCATTTTACGATTAACAACTTTATAAAAATAAATCAATAAAATAAGAATTAATACTAAAAACCCTTAATACTAAAAGCTTGAGTAGAAGTAGCAACAAAGACTGGCTAGGTCAGCCTTTCAAAAGTCTGAGAGAACAAACAGCCTTTTCCTGGTACCTGAACGCCAGTAGGTGATGCCAGCTGAGTGTCCCGGAGGGGAGGGCATTCCATAAATAAGGTGGGTCTGGAGAAATGACTCTTCTGAAGACAGGATCATTGAGAGGGGCCATGGTTCAGTAGTTGAATGTCTGTTTGGCATGCTGAAGGTCTCACGTTCAATTCCAGCCTTCGTCAGTTAAAAAGATCAGGTAGCAGCAGATAATATAAAAGACCTCTTCTTGAGACCATGGAGAGCCACTGCCAATCAGAGTAGACAATACTGGCCTTCAGGGCTCATTTTGTAGAAAAAGAGGTGCAGGAGCTCATTAGCATAGCTCACTAGCATAACTTATTTGCATATGCCACACCCCCTGACATCACCGGAAGTGTGTCAGAAGGCAACACCCACTGCTCAGGCTCCACTGGACTGTTTTGAATTGCTAGCTGTTGGGGGGGGGGGGCACGTGCAGGTCTGTCCTCGCAGAAGAGGGAGAGCTTGTACCTGAATAAAACTTGACCTTAAAGGTGCCACTGGACTGTTTTGGACCGGGGGGGCGGGGGGGCTTTGCAACTTACGTGGTGGCTTCTTGCTCTGACTGAGGGCTGCTGGGAGCAGGGGGCGGGGCTTGTTGCATGTGCCCGCCCCCTGGGCTCTTTACTGCCGGAGCTCTGCAGTGCAGGTTTTCAGATGCAGCTTGTGGAGGACAGGCGAGTCTGTATGGCAGAAGGCAGTCCTTCAAATATCCTGGTCCCAGAACGTTTGTTTGTTATTACATTTTTATCCCACCCTTCCACCAGAAAGCTCAGGGCAGCATCCATGGTTTGCCCTTCCAGTTTGGAAATGAGATTCTTTCCTCCTGAGGCTGTGGTCACTGGAGGCATAACTCCATGTGGGGAATTAGAAGGAAAGGAATTGACAATAAAACTGCCAGTGGTTTTATATAAATCTGTGACACAGCCTGCACTGGGAACATTGCTGTTCTGCATGTCTCCAAATGGATTTCCAAGTACTGCAGAGAGCATCAAATGATCAGGAGGTCAGAGCTCTTTTCCTATGAGGCTTTTTGAGGGGAGGAGAAAGAGGACCAAGAGGGACCTGGTAAAAGGACATTTATTCATGCACTGAATTTATTTAAAATATTTCTACCCTAATCCTTCCCACTGAATAAGGTATGCCTGAGGTGGCTAACAAAGCCAACTGGAAGGAGTAAAATGACGAAGGGTACACAGTTAGTAAAGTATTAATTCAAGTATGATCAATTAAAAATAGAGAAAAACAAAGCTGGAACAACTTCCTAAAGCCATTCCCTCCTCCCCATTCAAAGGCCAGCTTAGACAAAATTATTTTCAGTTGCCATCTCATAGGAAAGAAGGAGAGGGTGTAGCCCTCTTTTCTTCCTACTGGGATTTCAAAGCCACTAACAACATTCTCCCCCTTTCCATTTTATCCTCAGAACAACCACCCTGATAAGTATGTTATAACTGTTGATGTATGTTGAAAACTTTGTGGGTGATTAACTGACTGGTTTGTAATTTTGGATTCTCAGGACTTTTGTGTACTGTTTTGCAGTTATTGTACATGTTATAAGTTATACTTGACCTTAATAAACATTTTAAAAATTAAAAAAAAAGTAGGTTAAGTTAAACATGAGTGACTGGCCCCAAGTCATAAGGAAAACTGGGCTGGCCCAGCAATGTGCCAACAGAAAGGAAAAATGCCAGGTGATAGAGGACTGATCTACCACCTGGGAGTTTTTCCTTGTTGTTCTGTTAGCCCCCAGTCACCTACCCTGTTTTCCCGAAAATAAGACCTAGCCCAAAAATAAGCCCTAGCAGGATTTCTATACATTTGTGGTATAAGCCCTTTCTATGGCTTGTTGCCGTAATAAATGACTGAACTGAACTGGTATAAGCCCTAGTGTGTCTTCTTGAGAAAAAATAAATATAAGACAGTGTCTTATTTTCGGGGAAACACGGTAGTGAGCTTCCATGGTAGAGTGGGGATTTGACCCTGTGCTTTCCAGATCCTAGTCCAACACACTAACCACTATACCACACTGGAAGTCAATATCTGATGCCGATGCAGCTACTGTGCATGAAACGAAACAAGGAATGTAGAGAGGAAGATTCCCCCCCCCTCACTACTAGGAATTGGGTCACTTAGTGCAATGAACCTGGCAAACAGGTATTTTGCACAGTGCAAAACATGGTACCGGCCCCAGACTCAGATGGCTTTTCCAAAAGACTAGATGTATTCTTGGGGGACAAGAGACCTATCAGTGGCCATTAGCCACTGCTGCTGAACGACTCTCCTGGCTCAGCAGCGGTCTCCTTCTGTCTGGCACCTGCAAGCTTTTGGCGGACTACTGTGGGAGTGAGTGCGCCACACTGGATGGACGAGGAGTCTGATCTGGTAGGACAATTCTCACCTGCCTCTGTTCATGTGCCTGTCAAATACGGCTTTGGAACTGAGCGTGTTGCTATCCTGTTGCATGCCAGATGCAGTGCCTGAGGGTGTCATAAGGAGGCAGAGTCTTTGGCGGTGGCAGGTAAGGTCCCTGATTTCAGAGAGAACCACTTATGGCCCTATTTGTTGCCTCCATAGGGCTGCCTCAAGGAAAAGACGCTGGAGAACCTGGAGAAGTACGTGGTGAAAGATGTGAGTCTTACCCAGATCATTTTTTAAAATTATATATTTTTTCACATTACATTCAAACACATCCCTATTCCCGTACATATTGTATACTCTACCCTCCCTCCCCCCTCTGCAGAGTTTATATGCTATTTCTGTGTCTTCGGCAATGGTCCTTTATATAAGTCCTCCTTCTGTCCTTCTTGGGCCCCTGCCACACGGCAGGGGAAAAGCCCTTTAAAGCGCGGCTTTTAAAAGCCGCGCCAACGTTGATACGGCTCGGCGGGATCCCACGGATCCCCCGGCCGAGCCGCCTTTTCTCCCCGGCGCGATCAAACGCCGGAGAGAAAAGACGGCTCTAACCGGGAGCCGGCCGATCTGCGCATGTCGGAGCATGCGCAGTTCGGCTCCGGCCCGGGCTTGAGATGTTGTGGTGTGATCGCGCCGGTTTGACCCGCCCCCGAACTGTCCCGCTCCCGGGCCAAATTGCCTCGTGTGAACGGGGCCTTGCTTCCTCTATTTCCTCGCGTCCTTCTTGGTTCCCTTTTCTTCTTCCTTTTTCTCTTTACATTCGTAGCCGAAGATTATTCCTGTTCTGAAATCAGAGGTGGGAAGTTTTAGTATAACTTGGATGGTTATTTTTCTCACGTATTAATCATCTGCCTTTTCTTATTTTCTATTCCCCCCCTCCCTTTCTTAACTACATATCCTTTCTAGCCAGGGGCACAAACCTAGGAGCTTCCACCGAACGTCAGACCTTTGACCTTCCATGACCCATTTTAAATACAAACGCCACTTTTTCCTAGTCTTTCCTATTCTTGATTTCCATAGTTCATCTTGGTTAGAAATAGTTATTATGTCTGATTGAATATATTCAAATAAATAATTCTGCCAATTTGCTACTGTCCATTTGGTTTTATCTTTCCATCCATATGCTATTACGACTTTTCCAGCTAACGCCATTGCTTTAAATAAGTCCTGTCCTCCTTTTCCAATAACTTGGTTGCCTAAATTGCTGCTTAACATCAGTTCCAGATCTATCTTCGGTCTTATTGCAAAGAATAGTCTTACCCAGATCATGAGTTGGGGAACTGCTTGGATGCGGGACACTTCTCCAGTCTATCCCTTGCATCCCGGCTGCCTGAAAGGTGGCACGTGATTCCTCTCCTTTTCTGTCTGTGCCCCTGAGAGCAACATTCTCCCCTCCAAGCGTTGTTATTGTGTTGGCCTTGGATAACACCACCCTCAGGAAGTCACGAGGTCTTCTGCTCAGAGATCAAGGCTAGACAAGTTTGACCTTATTCACCCCTTCCCTTTATTTCCATTCAGAACATCTAAGCCAGTAGAGGCCTTAGAACTGGGGTCTGGTCTAGATCAGTGGTCTTTAACCCATGGGTTGGGACCCTCAGGCAGGTCACAGATCCTTTCCTACTGGGACATAATCTCTGTAGGGCTGCCTTTTTAAAGGACCTGCTACATAGAGAGCGAGGGTACCATCCCGTGCTGCTTACTTCTCTCTGTGTGCATGCTGAGAAGAGCAGCAAGACAGCAAGGTGAGGTCGTGCCATGGTGGATTGTTTTATGGCAGTCAGCATTGGGCTGTTGCTCAGTATGGTACACCTCACAGGCTTGTGTTTCCTGTGCCCAGCTCTTTGGCCTGCTGCATACGGTTTTGGCCTTTTCTCCTGCTGCATACAGTTTTGTCCTTTTCTCCAGTGAGGTCATGACTTTGGCTTCCCCACTTCCTGTCACCTCTGTGATGTGCTTGCATGGGTCCCACATTCGTTGGGTCCTGGGTTTGGAAGGGTCGAAGGCCACTTGGTCAAAGTGGGCCAGGGTACAAAATCGAGCTCATTCTTCCAGCGGTTATGTCTGCATCATTCCCTCCAGCTGTACCACAACTGTCTGTGCCGTCCCCCCAAAATGGGAGGGGTAACTCCTTTCCCAAGACTGCTACTGAGGGATGGGGGGAAGGCCTCCCTCCAGGGCTTCTGGTTCCTGTGCTTGGCATCTGAAGCCAGTGCATCCCCGCTGAAGCCTCCCAAAGATGTCTCCACAGCACGAGATCAGTTCTGGTGCCCCTCCTCTTTCCCAGACACAGCTTACTCTGGCTGTTGCTGGTTGAAGAGACCAGCCTTTGCTCCTGGTTCTCATCCGTCTCATTCTTGCATGTAGCCTCGTGTTCCCCTCCTGCTGAGCCGCATGAAAGAAGTGGGGAAGGTGTTCCTCGCCACCAACAGTGACTACAACTACACAGACGTAAGTTGGCTTCTTCCCAGGGCAGGTGGTATGTATGTCTGCTTGGATCTGCATCTGTCTTGCCCCTTCTGCATGCAGGTTAACCTTTTGAGTTGGATCTCCTTGGGAGACCCTTTACTCAGGTGGTCACCATCGGCCTCCTTCCCTTGTCTGTGCTGCACACTCCCAACTTGAAAAACATTGTTAGGTAGCTTTGTGCATTATCCTGAGAGTGCAAAACACTCTTTTTTTGGATCTTCCATGGTGGCCATGTTAATATTATAGGAGGCATACAGTAACACCATTGGCTGCCAGAAACAGTGTATGGAGAGGTGCAGGGTGATGACATCACACCTTGCCTTAGCAAGGCAGAGAGGCCAAAGGGACTTAAGACAGTGGCAGCTGTGGGTGGGGGGAGTCAGTTTCAGGATTTTGCGAGAATGAGCTCCACCAGTGCAGAAGGAGACTGCAGATGCACCCCTCCCCCACACTGGGCTTCTCTCTTTGCAGGCAATAATGACCTACCTGTTTGACTTCAGTGAAGATGGCCTGGTGAGTCACAGCTTCACCCTGAAAAAAGTTCACACGCTGGTCACACAAGTGGTTTCTGCAGCATGGGTATATCTTGAAGGCTTTATGGTGGGCAGATGAACACTTGGTGGGCAGATCAGCCCTTCATTAACAGACATCACTAGGCGACTGCCATAAGGGCCACTTCAGGATCAAAAGGACATCTGTGCTGGTGTTGTGGGCAAAGGAGTTCCCCCTGGCAACCGCAAGCTGGGCTAGCAGAACAACCAGGTTGGGAGCCATCCACTGGCGGCAGCCTCCTGTCTTATTCTTGGGAAATGAAGAGATGAGCCCTGCTCTGATTCAGACAGTGGATGTGCTTGGGGGAGAGCAGGATCGCAGTGGGTGCTGGTCAGGGGTTGGAAGTCCAGAGCTCCAGCTTGTGGGATCACTGAGAGGTGTGGGAGTGGCGTAGAGGCAGAAGGGTGGTTCCAGTGGAAGATTCGCTGCTTCATCAAATCATTTTCTGGCTTCCCTGACCTGTCCTTGCAGGAGGAACCCCAGCGCCGTCCCTGGCGCTCCTACTTTGATCTGATTGTGGTCGACACACGCAAGCCACTCTTCTTTGCTGAGGGGACCGTCCTGCGGCAGGTCAACACGGTAAATGCTGCTTAGGCCCGCCACAAGCAGGGATGGAGAAAAAGGAAGAGCAGAGGAAGTACAATCCTACTTTGGAATGGATTACTCCGATAGGCCGACTCATAGCCAATAAAACCAGGGACAGACAGGTTACCCAAGGTCTTTGGGTGCAGTGGGGAAACCCTTCTGAGTTTGGGAGGGCAGAACAAGTGGACTGCGGAGATTCCTACTGGTGGTGGTTGCAAAGCTGCCTTTTTGTAAGAGCCAGTCAAACCGCAATCCCTGTCTGCCGTCCAACTGACATTTTGAGTTTTGTCTGTCCAGGATTACCTGTAGATCTTTTTGGTTGAGGGATAGTGTGACGGAGGTCAGGGCAGAGGCGGTGGCAGCTAACACAGACCCCTCGCGGTGTCTGAACTCCTGATGGTGGACAGCCTTGGCTCCCCTTGCTTGGCATGGAGCCATGGAGCTTCCAAGACTTTGGGCACATTTGTCCGTGGAAGAGAGCATGGTGACTTCCACTGATTCTTCTCCTTGGGAAAAAAATTTAGCGGGAGGCTGTAGCATGAGGGGGAAATTAGAAAGTCCTGCTCTGTGGGGAGTGCTGCCCAAGTGGATCTTATTGGATACAAGCTATTGTTCTTCCATTGTTAGCTAACAGCAGCTAAAGCCTTGGGCGTTCAGTCATGAGGCCTTGTTATTTCAGCAAGGAGATGCTAGGAAAGGCTCCTAAAGCAGGAAAGGGGACTGGCTGATGTCCTTTGGGGAGCCATCTTATTTATTGATTTAATTGAAAGCATTCACATCCCCAGCTTTCCATCTTTCAGCCTTCCAGGTGGCTTACAGCAACAGTATAAGCTATCAGTCTAAAAAACAATGTGCATGCCCAATATAAGAGACAGGCAGCTACAAGGAACAGAGGGAGAATCCAGAGAAGGAACACAATTAATAGGCATGGGCACAAGGAATTATGACCTCCAAACTGATACATGTTAGAGCTGGAAGGAGCCAGATTGTGACGCTGCAAGAGAGCGGCCTCTATGCCAGCAGGAGGCTCGCACTCTCATTCAAATCTTTATTGTGAAATGCTGGACAGAGAGATGGGAGAGCCTGGGCTGCCCCTCACTGCAAGAGCCAACAACTGCTTTGGGGTCTCATTCTGCTCCCTTAGCCAATCCTCTGCCTAGAGTTCACTGCTGTTATTTCTCTGCAGGACACAGGGAAGCTGCGGATTGGCACCTACACAGGACCCCTCCAACACTGTGCTGTTTACTCTGGAGGTAAAGTACTGGTGCCCCCTCTAATGCCTGTCTCCATTGGACAGTGTACCTGTCCTTCATGTTAGCAAGATCTGTATCACCCCATTGCAGTGAGTCAGCCATGGGCTTGATGGGAAGAGTGGAGGCAGAGGCCAACCTGATTTGATTTCAGCAAGCCTTGGTTTGAGAGTCTCTGACTTCTGTCTCTCCCCTCTAGGCTCTTCAGACATGGTGTGTGACCTCTTGGGAGTGAAGGGCAAGGACATCCTCTACATTGGTGATCACATATTTGGAGACATCCTCAAATCCAAGAAGAGGCAGGGCTGGCGCACCTTCCTGGTGGTGCCCGAGCTGGCCAAGGAGCTGCAAGTGTGGACAGAGAAAAGCGGTGAGGATTAGAGACGTTCTGGTGGATGGAGGGGGTCAGTCTCTTATCAGGGATGAAAGGAAGCCAGGTGGTGAGGGGGCCAAAGATGGCCAGAGCTCTCTGCCTGACAGGGAATGAAATGGGCTGAGGTTCTGCATCCCCTTCCCCTGGGTCAGACCAACGCTTGCTGTCGAGCACTCAGCCTTCTCTCTTCTGCTCACAGAACTCTTTGAAGAACTGCGGAGTCTGGACGTGTTCCTGGCTGAGCTTTACCAGTAAGTGGGACGTTGTCCAGAATATTGGTGTCAGGGATGATTTTGCTCTAAAAGACCTGGAGTCTGATCTTGGAGACTTGGCACCTAGTTACTTACAGCCCCTGCTCGCTTGCAAAATATGCAGGCTTTGCAGAGATTGGCGGTGGGAGCTGGCCTACCTGCCCTGCATCCCTGCCCTCCAGAAGTCTCCCTAAGTCAGTCTCGGCCTGCTTTATGGTTCAGCTCCATAGCCCAGGAGGTGTACAGACTCCCCCTTAATACCTGTGTATTTAAATCGCACCCAGCCAGCCCCCCCTTTTCAGGAAGTAACCAAACCAATTTTGGCTGTATTGATGGAAGTCATACTTCAAGATTTACTTAGAATTATCGCCACACTTCTGATTCTGTACCATTAAAAGGCCCTGAACTGGATAGCTCAGGCTAGTCTAATCTTGTCAGACCTCAGAAGCTAAGCAGGGTCGGCCCTGGTCAATATTTGGACGGGAGACCACAAAGGAATACCTGGGCCATGTCGCAGAGGCAGGCAATGGCAAGCCACTTCTGAACAACTCTTGCCTTGAAAACCCTGCAGGGGTCGCCATAAGTCAGCTGAGACTTGACATCGCTTTCCACCCCCACTGTTAAAAGACTGATATGCAGAAAAGAGGCATTCAGAACACTGTTCTGAAAATAAGCTTCCTGTTTGCCTCAAGAGGAACCATTTACTTGCAGTATTTCTACTTCCAGGTGGTTAGAATAGAAATCACCCCTCCCCCCCATTTTCATATATTTCCCCCCTTCCCTCCCACGGGGAATTCCCAGGCTAGATATTAGGATCCACAGGGAGATAGGCTGGGGCTCCTTTTGCTAGCCTTTTCCTCCCAGGCTTGGCTTCCCCATGGAAAAGGCCTGTTCAGTGGGACACCTCAAAAGAGCAGCAGGTTCCTCACCTTCACAGACTTGCTGGTGGAAGAAAGTGATAACCTTCCAGGCACCTGTTTCCTCTCAGCTGTGGATAAGGGTGCCAGCCCAGTGAAACCTGGGGCGGGGGGCAGGGGTTGATGAGCTGCTGAGGACCCTCAGCGTCCACTGACGCTCTTGTTTCTTCCCAGGCACTTGGACAGTGGAAGCAGCGAGCGCCCGGACATCAGCTCCATCAAGAGGCGCATACAGGTAGGGCCCTGCATTTTATGAAAGCTCCGAAAACACAGCCATGTCCCATCACATGCCAGGCCCCACAGGCAGAGTTTGAGTTCAGTTTGAGCTTATTTTCCTTGTCTTTGGCGCAAGGGCTCACGCATGTGCTACCAGTGCTAGTAGGTACGGTGATCTACTTAGGGAGACTCCAGTCATAAGGCTCTTCTAGCACTTTCTCCATACAGTGCTATGCAAATATTTCTCTGCATAGCTTCCTATCTGGGCGACCGTCGCATAATAGAGCAACGAGGTCTCTTATGCAACCTTCACAACTAGAGTAAGAAAACTGGCTTTACTGCAGGGCTGCCTAGGGTCCCCCTGAGAAGCAGAATCCGCTTCTCTCAGCCACCTCGAGGCCAGGATTTTCTTGGCGTGTGCATAGTAGCCAGTTAGCTTGCAAACTAGCCTATGCAAAATGCCATCCTATCAGGCCCATTAGGGAAGGCAGAATTATATGGCAGGACTTCCTGCTTACTGCGGAGATTCCCAACCAGCCCCTGCCCTGGCATGAGCCAAGCTACACTGTTATAATAACAGTGAAGGCAGTGGTACATACATCGACGTTTAGAAGAAACACAGTCCAGCTGGAACAGATGTGGTCCCCTGAGTACAGGGGAGGGAGGCACAGCCTGGAAAAGCCATGAAACCCTAACCCGACAAAACTTTCATTCTCAGAGCTGATGAAATGCCAGTGTAACCTCTGAGCCAATGTTAGGCTCAAGAACTCCTGGAATCTCGAAGGAGGGGAGCTGGTTCTCCAGATGGGTGGCATTCGTGTTTCTGACGCTAACCTAGACCCTCAGACACATACATGGAGGAGAGCTGTGGCAGGGAATCATAACGACAGTACACTTGATCCAAACCAACTGCAGAGAAGAACAGCTCTCACCAAGCTGGTTGTAGGACATATACCTGTTCAGCTCCTCCCTTCAGCTTCCCAAATATCATCAAATTGCTCAGGAGTCCTTGAAGAGCTTGAATTGGGACTCGGGAGACTTCAGTATCTACCGTGTCCACCTGGAAGAACTTAACCTTCATTCTAGTTCTTCTCAAAGAGAAAAATGGCATTCATCTATCAAGGAGCATTTTCAGTGTTTGAAAACAATGCCATTAATGGCAGGGGCTATCTAGCGAGCACAGCAGATTTTTCAGCCAAGATGTCTGACGAGCATCCCGAGCTTTTCTTGCCACCTGATCTTACTGACTTGGAGATGCCAGGGACTGAACCTGGGTGAATACACCTGTCGAATGCAAAGCAGATACTCTGCCACTCAGCCGCAGCCCCTCCCTCCCTCCTACCATAAAGATGCAGTCCAATACAGGCCACTAGGCCCCGCTGCCTTAACAGCTATATCCAGGCTATGTGAGAGGACTCCCAGGTGACTTGCATAGAGGTGATTTGCATTACACGGCTCATAGGCAGAAAAGAAATATTATGTTCCCCTCCTACTATGAAATCTGTGTCAAGCTCAGAGCCCACAGAATCCCCCTGGCCTGGAAAAGCTCAAAAATAGCTGCCTTCAGTACTGAATGGGTCCCAAGCAAGGGAAAGCCTGAGCACCCCCAACCCTTGGGGCAGTTTCCCCTTTGCAGGCTGACCTAGTTGTCACACCTTCCGTTGCAGAAAGTCACTCACGAGATGGACATGTGCTACGGGAAGATGGGTAGTCTGTTCCGCTGCGGCTCCCGCCAGACCCTGTTTGCCAACCAGCTGATGCGCTACGCTGACCTCTACGCCGCCTCCTTTATTAACTTCCTGTATTACCCTTTCAGCTATCACTTCCGGGCACCACCCACACTGGTATGTTGGGGGCAGATTAAGGGAAGGGTGATGGCGGTGGAAGGATTCTGGATGGATGTGCGGGAAGCTTCATCTAGCTTGTTCCAACCTGGGAGAGGGCAGGACCGTGCTGGTGTCATGGATAAACTGTCAGAAGATCTGGCTTCTCCCATAGGAGGACACTGCTTCTTTCTTCTCTCCAGCTAGGGATAGAGGCAGAGGTCTATTCCGGCACAGGCTTTTGGGGGGCACCTCTGCAAGGATGGAAGGGGGGGAGCAATCCCACCAGTGGGGCTCCCACTGACATCCTTGTGCCAATCCCTTCCTCCACCAGATGCCCCATGAGTCAACTGTGGAGCAGACACGCATAGAGTTCAGTGAGACTACCTTGCTACCACCAGGGCATCGGATGCACCCGCTTGGCTTCTGCAAGCAGCAGGTGAGTAGATGGCGTCCAAAGTCTTGGGTCCTTCTTGTTCCCTTTCTTCCCAAAGACTTTTCTCTGATCTTCACTTCCATACAGTTAGAATGGGTCCTGGGCCTTATGGAAGGCCATCCAACCATATCTGAAGGACCATCTCTCCCCGTTTCTGCATGCACCAAGTGCGGTCTTCTGACTGCCATGTTCTAGTTGCCTGTTTGGCATCTGTTAGACCCCCATTCCCTCTCTGTCATGGCTCCCACCTTGCAGAACAAGCCTTCTTGATGAAGGGAAGGAGCATCATGTGTAGAAGTTTTTAGGAAACGCTGTAAGGCCTTTTTATCTGCAAGGGTTTTCAGTGGGGTTCAAGCTGCAGGCATTTGCTTGGGGTTGAGGGATAAATGTAGTTTTACTTTATTTTGTATGTTTTTATTCTTGGAATTGTAAGCCATCTTGAGCTACAAGGGAAGGATGCAATTATAACTGTTTTAATAAATAAAGGAGCAGTGGGAAAAGAACAAAGCAGAAATACACGATGGATGCAGATGCAGGTGTTGAAGCCAGCGTAGTTCCTCCAGAGTGAGCAGTTACAGAAAAATTGGGGGGGTGGGGGGGCACACAACCTAAGAAAAAGGTTGGGAAGAACTAGTGGGAGAGGGGGGGAAACATCTTTAATTATGTCTAAAAAGTTTAAATGCTGCCAGCAATACCTGCAAGATCTGGCTAGGGATCCATTGTCTGCTTTTCCACCATCCTAAAGGTGAATGCAGTGAGCATATCATTATCCAATGAGCCCGTGCAGATCTTCTTTAAAATGTTGGACTAGGACCTGGAAGACCCAGTTCTGAATCTCCCCTTGTGCCATGGAAGCTTGCTGGGGGACCTTGGGCCAGTCACACACTCGCACCCTAACCTACTTCACGGAGTTGTTGTGAGGATAAAATGGAGAGGAAAATGATGTAAGTGGAGTGAAAGGCAGGATATAAGTACAGTAAAATAAACATGACAACGGCTAGTCAGGCATTTGCTTTAAGCCCACAGAGCAGTCTGTCCCTGAAGAAATAACCAGATGCAGAGGGGTTTTTTTAAGCTTATTAGTTTATTTAAAAGTCCCAAAGCAAACTCTTTAAGCAAATGGTTTTTAAAAAAATACTTATGTGTTGGACTAAGGAGAATCCACACAGTCCTTGGGTCCCAAATATTTTTATCCCACCCTTTGTCCCAGGAGCTCAGGGTAGTATACCTCTCCCCTTCTCTATTTTATGCTCATGTGGCAGAAAGGGCCTGTTCTGGCCTGCAGGCCCTGCTCCACCCTAACCTCCACGGTTCCCAACATCTGGAGAGGCTTCTCTCTCTCTCTCTCTGGTAACCTGCCGCTACCACCTGACCTTTGTAGGAATTGCCCACGGGGAGGGTCAGGACTCCCAGCTTCCCTGTCAAGTTATGAGGCCTTGCCTCTGTGTCTCCTGCTACCCAGCACCTGGTCACCATGGGGACAGTTTACTGCCTTGTGTGCCCCTGGAGGAACTGCCACTTGCCAACTGACTGCTTTCTCCCTGGTGCTCCTTTTAAAATAGCATGTCCAAGATGATGGAGGTCTATGTGGTACAGAGAACCACTACCAGCATCCAAAGTTATAAAGTATTTATTAAAAAGAAAGTGTTCACAAACATACTTTTAGCACAGCACCAGATTGAGTAAGGGATTCAGAAGAAAAGGGTAAAATGCAGTTCCTCTGTCCCTCTCTCTATACATGCCCTAACAGATGTTAAAATATAGGATAGGCTCCTTAGCTTTAGAAAGTTACAGATCTCTACAGAGTCTCCTCTACGTTGAAGCGTCCTTCAGCTAACCAGACCACCACATGGTCAATGGCCACCTTCTCCGGACCTCGGCTAAGAGTGCTGTCTGCTCTGATGCACCCAGCACAAAAGAGCACTATCTCCTTGCTCCCCTGAGTTTTATCACCTCTCTTTCCTCCATTCAATGACCAGGTCAGGCCAGATCAAAGAGGCTTTTCTTGAAGTGGCTAGAATTTTCCTTCCTGAAGCCTCTCTAGTATTTAATTCCTCCACATCTCTGTTCCCTGCTTGAAAGGGGGGGGGGGACTTGACCCACCCATTATCTCTCCTGCTACATCTATTAGCATTTGTGTGAAGGTAAGCTGGAAAGCAATTGGACTGCCTTCCTGCCTGTCTGCTTTCTCCCCAGAGAGAAAAAACCTTTTAAAACTAGGAGTGAAGGTTTTGCTCATTTCAGACCTTCAAAGGAAAAATACATTTCTTCACAGCTCACAACAACCCTGTGAGGGTGGCTCAAGGTCGCCCAGCAAGCTTCATAAGAAAATGGGGATTTGAATGTGGTTCTTCTAGACCCTAGTCCAATATTCAAACCAATACACCAAGCTGCCCTTCTGAGTTCCTAGACAGAGTGCAGATGGCCAGACAGAAAACACATAGCGCTCCAATAGCTCTCCTGACAAGGCTGTATCCCAGAGGACAGAGCACTACTCAGTTATGGGCTCGGTGGGGGACTAAGTCGCCGGCAGAGTGTAGCTTTTGTGTATAAAAGATAAGACCCAGCCTCTCCCCAATATAGAAAATCCCTCCTCTTGCCCTGCCCTGTAATAAGACAGCCTGCAGAACTCTCTGTGCTTCCTGTCCTCTGCAGAAGCTCCAAAACATTTTCCAGGAGGCCAACAATGAGGAGGACTACGACGACTGAATCCCGTCAATCCATGCCGAAGGAAATCCAGATGTGACAGATGAGTGTGGCTCAGCCGGAGCTGACAGGGTGGGAAGGGGGAGAAGAAGGGCTTCTAAAATGGAACGGATGTTGGAATTTCCCTAGCCGACGTCAGAAAGATCTAACCTGTGAAGTGACCGATTCTGAAAGATAGGCCAAGGCCACCTGTGGCTCCGGGTGCAATAGCCCCACGAGTTGCAAAAGCTCTTTCTAGGAGGCTTGCTGTTTGCACTCCCTCCCCCACTAGCCACTTCAACCATCAGGAGCGCCACCCCCAAGAATCGAGACCTGCAGCCCCTCCCAGCTGATTCCATCTGAAGATGCTGCCTCTAGCTCATTACTTCTGCATTAAGAAGCTATGAGAGTCACTGCCTGGGCACAGCCCTCTCAGGGAGTGGTTCAGCCCCTGAAACCAAGGTGGGTCAGTTTCCCCTTAGCAGGAGGAATGAAGACCGGACCTTTGAGAATGGCAGCACGAGGCCCCCATTTCCTTTCTGCTCTCGCTGTGCACACTTTTGCTGTGTGTTTGAGAAGCAAAGAAGAAAGCCAGTCTCCTTCCTGAGCAGACACCGTCGCTCTGGGGAGAAACCCCTCCCTCTGGCACCTGTAGAAGAAGCCCTGTGCCGCTCAAGCCCGTGGGAAGTCCAGGACTACGTTACTGGGCCTGAAACGATTAGCCCTGGAGCAGCGGAAACTCCTCAGGCCACAACCAAGAGGATCCGTAGTGGGTCCAGTCCCAGACAGTGGTTATATGGACATGCTTTTGGGACTCGGTGTTCAAGCCAGCGCTGCTGCCAAGAGCTCAGCACAAATCTTTACGCTGTATTTGCCATGTAGGAAGAGTGGCTGTGCCTCCAGCTCCTCCCGCCCCCAAGCAAGGCACCTTGTTACCACGTTAGCCCAAAGAAAGACCACAACAGAGAAACAGAGAACCATTTCTAGGACTGGAGGGGGGTGAAGAGTACCCACCTTAGTTTACCAGGGAGGGAAGAACGGTCAGTCTGAAAGGAGCACAGGTCAAAAAGGAAACACAGCTCAAGGCCAAGAGAGTCTTTTGAGGCTCAAGTCATGGAAACTTGCTGCGGGATTCTCACCCAGCACGTATCCCCAGCACCCCCTGCTGTCCAGATACCTTCATGTAACAAGCCAGTCAGGCCTTAATGTTGGCTGGAGCAGAATTTAAGGGAGAAGATTAGAGAGAGAGAGAGCTGTGTCCCAGGAGCCAAGCCCGGGGGGACAGAGGGAAAAGCACAGCTAGCAGACTCTTCAGTGACGGGGGTAGCAGAGAAACCCACTCCACGCAGTATGCAGGAGGCCCTTCACTGTCTGTGCTCACACAGGATCGCAGAGAAGGGGGTTGGGGCAAGGCACAGAAGATACACACACCCCTTTCAACAGAGACCAATGTGCTTCTCTGTTCCTCTGCTAAGTCAGCTCCTCAAAGATAGAAATCTTGCTGTGAAAGAAGGGCACCGCCTCCCCCCCCCCAACTCCCCAAAGCCAGATGTACACACAGGTTTCTTCCAACAAAAATAAAGATACCTATATTGCGAAAGTTATAATTATTTTGTGACTTTTCTTACGTGTCCAGTCTATTTACACAGCTGTAACAGGACAGAGAGACAGTGAGCTCCATGGGCCAGGCCTGTAGAAACCTAGAGGTGATATTCTGGGTAGGGGGATAATGCATTTCCTTGACCTGTCACTTGAGTATGTGTATGGAAGCAGCAGGTGCTTCTCTTTTCACTTTTAGATGGTTAATTTGAAATAGACACTAAGTGGTTTCAGCTCCAGCCCCGTGAACTGTTTTAGCCGAAGACCTTGGAGTTTTCTTTTCTCTTTAAGAACTCCACAGCTGCAAATAATAATTACCCACTTGGCCTTGAGTCAGCTGCGGACAGTTTAATATGGGATGTTTTTCTCTAGAAAAAAGCCAACTTACTTCCCAGGCTACGGAGGCCAGGGAGCATGAAACGGGACGAATGTCAGTATGCTTGAGACTCACTGCTATGGTGCAGTGGTTAGTTATCCTTCTTTGTAATCATCTTCAGTAAACTCTGCCGAGCTTTCCGAGACTTGGATGGGGGAGTAGCGTTGTTAATGGGTGCCTCCCTCCCTTTTCCCAGAGGCGAACCGGAGACCGAAGAGGTGAGCTTTTAAAGCGCAAAGGGCTTTGAGTGTTGATAAAGTAAAACAGGTTGCTCTTTGCCAGCTTGAGACCTTGAGCCCTAACAGGCTTTGGCAAAAGAACTGAGACTGAACCTCCCAGTTCATACAGTATGGGAGGCATGTTCAGGGTTGGGGGGGGTAGGGTCACAACCTCAAGAGCTCCACTTCGACATCCTCTGGCAAAGCTTCATTTTTGCGGAACACAAAGAGGCTTCCATGATCCGTGGCCCTAAGTTGATCGAGCGAAGTCACTACTGTGTCGTGGTCCTTCAGCATGTCTGGGTAGCAAGCACTGGCACCTTCTATCCGCAGGGAACGCCGCACGGGAGTCAAGAGCTTTGTGTCTGGCCTGGTGCAGCACTCTTTTGCCCTGAAACACAGAGAAGGTTAATACAGCCGGCTGCTCTCTCTCCTTAACAAGTATTCCACTCTCCCACCAAACAGAGCTACTGAACAGGGCTTCTTGCTTTCAGAGGCAAACCTCTTCTGGGTCACAGGGACCAGCAACAACATACTTAGAGTTCAGGGTTGTGTATCATAAAATCTTTACCAACTCCCCTCCCAAAAAAACACTCCCCCCCCCCGAAGGGGATTTTTTAAAATTGCATTTTCTAAAAACTACAAAGAAGCATGGTGGGGAGTTACTACAAACTGCAGGGTAAAGAAACAGAACCACAAAAAACCGAAGAGATGGAGGTCATATATCGCTTAACATCAAGATAATAGCTTTTTAACAATTACTTTTGGACAGTGAGAGTGATCATTCATTATCATCGCTTATATTGACAAAACCACCAAAACTGACTAAATGAAGATTCATCCCGAGAAATAATTAATTTAACTTCAGGAAACAATGGCATCTCAATTTACAATTTTAGCTCCCCAATTACTAATTTCCTCCCCTTTTTTTAAACAAAGAGAAAAAATCTCCCTCAAAAGGTGTATAATACAGTCTTATTTTTCTCTTCCATTGTTGTTTCTTCTTTCTTCTTCTCTTCTTTCGCTGTAGCTCCATATTGCTGTAACAAGAACTGGTCAACCTAAAACAAAGTCAAGTTTCCTTTTTCCGGAACTTCTAAATGCTTAAATTCTTGCCTTCAATCATAGGGGACACTTCAATATTGTTTATCTTGATAGCTTCTGGAGACTCTAACCTCCTTGCCAGGCGGATTTTATATTGTGGGTATATCCATGGATTATACCCTTCGCTTTATGCACCGCTTTCCCCCCAAACACTTTTGCAGATGAGAGGTGTATTCAAATTGAGCCCATTTGCATTGCATTCATTCCACTTCTGGCTGGCCCCACAATTAGTGTTTTGGCTTGGAACTGGGGGGGAGAAAAAGCCCTGGCAGTGGAAGAAACACTTGCAGGCGCCAACTGAAGCTGAGGCCTGGGTACGGCCATAACCCACTTTTCTGTTCCTGAAGCCGTTTGTCCAGGCTTAAA